CCCCCCCCCCCCCCCCCGCACGCACAAAGACTAACAGGGTTTGCAGGTCGGAAGAAAAAGGGAGTCATTGTAGGGCTCAAGTTGCCACAGCGGGCGGAGAATCAAATAGACATGGAGGTATATAAGGGCTTAAAGAACATACTGTAGCATACTCAAACAAGTTACCATCGCATGGAGTCAGAGCCCTGTTCTGCAGAAAATTGTAGTTTAACTTCCATTCCGTATATTCCGTAAAGGCAACCCAGACAGTAGCAGATATGGATTCTGGTCTACGGATCGATGATCCTGCGACACCCACTCAATCCGACATTCTCCTAAACTTGTTACGAAATATGACCCATGATTTCACTGCCGATGTGCAGTCTCAAGCTGCTTTATTGGACTGCAGATATTCCACCTAGATCGTGAATCAAAGAGATCGGCATAGTTTTTTGTTCATGCCTAGCAAAGAATTCCTGGCTTTCAATGCTTATCAAGCTTGCAATACGGCAACCTTATGACCTCGCAACTCCACATCCTACGTAGAAACTAGCCGCGGCCATTCTAAAAGGTGCCTTCCTACCTGCGGCACCTGTGCGGCCTGTGCTGATCAAGTACACAGGCGCCTCTTCAGGGTGCGGGGCGTCGTGTAGTTTCCGTGCTCGTATCGAAGATGCTTTGGCAGGTGATTGGGATCCCTCGAACGTGAGCTTCCGAGACGCTAAGGACGGCTTCCGCCCGAAGGGGTTTTGTAGACGCCTCAAAGAACAGAATAGGATGTCGGGCTGCGGTAGCTGCTCAAAGTTCTGTACATGGGAATCCTTTGTAGTGACCGCGGGTCCTTAAAGGTATTTCATTCTGAGAAAGCTCCCATATATAGGGGTTGGGGTTCGGGGTCGAGGGCTCTAAAGGAGTACAGGCTATGCCCCATCCCAGACGATGATATGTGTACAGGTGGGGTAGAATCTACTAGGGTGTAGGGTTTTGGGGTTTTGGGAAGTTGTTCAAGCTTCATCTTAAAAGGTTGGGGCAACTCTTAACTGGACCCCAGCCTAGAAAACGTGCTCCACCTGGAAGATTACCCCCAGAGAACCTTGTTTCAGGTTAGAGGGGTTTAAATGTAGCCAGAGAGCGTCCTCGTATTTTCATCTGTAGTTCTTACAGGCCCTTTTTCAACTGTCAGATAATCTTACGGGGTTCCAATTTCAAGAAATAATACGATGGATATGCGTGCTGGACAAGACCTGAATAGTTACTGTCTGCTCTGAGTATAAGCTAGGTCGGCCTTTTGACGGTCTTGTTTTTTTCTTGTTAGAAGTGCTCAGAAGGGCTGGGATACGTGGACTAATACAATGACATGCGCAAGTACAATAATGCCTGCAAGCTTTACACTGCGTACCATACAGCAATATTAGCTTCTAGAAAACATTGTCGTGTAGAAGCCTGCAAGAGCACAAATATTGTGGTCCTACAGTCCTTGTACGACCCAGGTATAGGGTACGTCAAATAAACCTAAGAATGATGTTGGTGGTCATTTGGGCTCTTACAAGTCCTCAAGTCCCACACCCAGGCTCCTTCCAACATGAGTACTGAACTCTGGTAGTTGAGCATATCCTACGGTATCAATGTAAGCCTTGATTGTCTCCCAAAAGGGCACATGTAGCTGTATAGTA